CCACAACCACTACCAAGCCTATACGTATAGATTGCACCTTGTGCACGGAAGCTGAAACAGCACGAGTGCCCTCCAGTTGAATATTGCCAGGGCATGATGCCTCGGTGCCAGTTACCGCTCTACGCGTATGAACACAAAACTTGGAGAATCCAGGGAGGACTTGGTGACTCGTAATTATCTCTCGGCTGGTTCAGCCTCTAGCGAGGCCCCACCGCTGGTTCTAACACGACGACACGAGGTCGTCACACAGTACATCGGCTCGAAACCGCCTTGTGACTTCGGTGACGTCGAGTAACACGTGTACAGGAGGGGAGCCTTATGAAACATTGCGTTCTCGAGCGCATCAAACCTTTGTAACTCTGAGGATGGCTGGGCAGTCTGCGAGGTGTCTAGGCGAAACCTCAGATTTATTGTTTTTATTGTCCAGCCGACTCGTCCGGCCTCCTCTCATTCATAATCTATTATATTTTATTTAGAAATGCCTTGACGGTGCGAGAATTAGAATACACGTAGGTGACGTGACACCCAGTCATAGGAGTCAATGGGCCAGAGGGGACGGAGTTGTTGGGCTGCCGGATCGTCGAGTCGTCGAGAGTCGTCGAGACTACCGAGGAACTTGGGAAAAGTCGATTGCTTTCGAGTGGCTCAAGTGGCGAACGCGAGTGCTGAGCGAGTGAGCATCGGTCGCTACTTATTCCTATACCTTTGATAGTTGCTGCATGCTCATACAATAACGCGTCTGTGGCTGACGCAGGATTCGCTGCTTGCTCAACCGAGATCCAATGCTTTTTTGTTTTTTGTTTTTTTCTATAACGGTACATTTCCCGGTAAAAAATAATGTTCGTACACATTTCATCCGCGTTATCTATTCGCTGGCTCGACTTCCGGTCTCTCGTCTGTTCGTTTTTTGCCACCAAGCGATCTTCTCGTTCCCGTGGTCACGAGTCACGGCTAACAGACCAGTGCGTGCATCGCAAGCAGCGCCATCAGCGCCATCAGCGCCATCAGCGCCATCAGCGCCATCAGCGCCAGTAACACCAAGCATTACCCTCCCCTAGCGCCATGCAGCTTCCCAACTTTAACTGTACATACAAGTACATTCTATGCTGACGTTCACTCACTATCTCAATTGAAATGAACTCACAGCCGTCACCGGCAGTACTGCGCTCGACTATCTGCCACGTGCCGTTTATCTCGGCGACAGCGTTACGACAAGCACGTGTCCATGTAGGCGGTGTCTGAGTAATATGAAGAGAGGCTCTCAAGGAAATATCGGAAAATAAAAATATGCTATAGCAATGCCGAAATTCATGCCGGCCTCTCCGTTGAACCTTATTATTGCATCTGTTCAGGTGCTGCAGATTTGATAGCATTTCCTCGGTCCCTGACTAGATAAGCACATGTGCTCAGCGGTCACGCAAATAACGAGAAAGCATAGATTCTTAATCCGGGGAAAGGGGCCATCGCAGTTTTTTCCAAATAAAGGAGGATGGCAAACTGTGGGATCCAGCACCGATCTGAACAGAAAAGGACTAGCTGCAGGTTCCCCAATTCAGGAAGTAGAGAAAAAGAGACCGAAAGGGACTCAGTGAAATTGAAGGAGCAAGTCACTAGCATCGTGAGGATGAATAAGGGTGAACGAGGGTGAACGAGGGTGAACGGCGGTCCTGACTGACGAGAACGGCGAAGCGACGGCGTGACGAGGACGCCGAGCTCGCGGGAGGTCGCTGAGAAAAGTGCAAAATGTGCAATTCCCTGCTAGTTCAGTCCAGTAACGTCAGCAGAGACTCGTTCACGAGGTCTGATATAAAGGTACTGGAACAAAATAAAAGTGAAAAAAGATCAAATTAAATGATGAATGCAAGAAGCTGGCGACAAGTCCTTTAGGCCTAAATACTGCGAATCCGTTCGTTCTGTCTCTCTAGTAACTTTCTGACTCTGCTCAAAAGGGAACGGTAACGCGAACAGTCACGACAGATGCAAAGGGTCCAGTCAGTAGATCAGAGATATGAGCCCTTTTTATCGTAATAAGGATCCGAGTAGAGTATTGTGCCGTCGCGCTGTGGTATTTAAATAGGTTATGTCGGTTATGTCGACAACGTAACTGCACTAGATGGGAAAATAGAACAATTCTAAGGGTGACGTAACTTTTGTAAGTCGTAAGCATCTGCGTTTGTGTCGGTATCATCGTCGGCACAAGTTTTCCCGCCGAAAAGTTTGGAAAACAATGGAAAATCCAGGTCTCGGCGTCTCCATGCCAGCAAACCGCCAGTTGCGCGTTCGAGGCTGCCGATATTAACTTTACATCCGCGATAGTTTCGAATGTTTCTCCCCCTGTCTGTGCGCCTTGACTTTTATTCCCGACTTCTCACTTGATTCCCTTAACTCTTGTTTCGAAACTTGTTTTCTCCCCTTCCGCATGGTTCTCTACGCTACGTTAATATCGCTGAAGCCTCTGAGGTACCTGATATCTCTCTCTCTCTCTCTCTCTCACACACACACACACACACACTCGATGCAAATCTACACTCTACTCACTCTCACCTTTACCATGCCACCTAGCCAGACAACCAAGCAAACGTGTACTGGCATAAGCGACCAGCATGAGTGGCTTAGGTCTCTCTTTTTTTCAAGTATAAATGACAGGCGGCTCATAAGGACACGTATGCGCATTAGGTGAGAATGAGCGAGGGAGAGAGAGAGAGAGAGAGAGTGAGAGAGTGTGAGGGGGGCGCGGGGGTAGAGAACCTTCGAGATTATCAAAATATTCGAACTAAGGACAATCCAGTGCATTTCCAGTCACGTTCGCTCTTCGGTCCTCACGCCCTTCCTCATTATTCCAGTGCGTCATCGCAGCACGTCACACACGCAAACTGAAACTACTCACTTCCGTTTATCTCCCAAAGGGCTTTTGGCTCTTGATTTTTGGCTTTTGGCTTTTGGCTTTTGGCTTCTGGCCCGTCTCAACACTTTTTACCTTCACAGTCAGATCAAATGCTCTGCGCGACATGCAACGTGGAAACGTGAGACGCGAGACATGCGATGCGTGACATACTACGTATAGCACATACTGCGTGTCAACTTTATCGTTAAATGTATTATACTAATGTAAAATCAGCAATGACACAAACAAATTATGAGCTAGTAACACGAGAAAACTCACCGTTCACGGCTGCGAAAATGCCCAGCACGCAGAATAATATCGATCTCACGCACATTTTTCAACTGTTTCTTCTTTCTTCTTTCTGCGTTCTACTTTCCCTTATTTTGCGGCTTCTCCCTTTTAGCCCTGTCTTCAGCTTCCCAGTGGCTCTTCCTTTTCTTGCCAAATTGTCCGTTGCACGTTTCTTCGAAGAGAAATATGATTTAACAGCTGTAAGGCAGCAGCGACAGTGGTATCGCGATCACTTTATTGGCTACCTTCGAAATTGATCTCCGCAGCCCGATCGTCATTGACGTAACAGTTAGCTGGGTATCGAAATATCATCGCACAAAATTGTTGACAAAATTACCGCAAAATATATTGAAGAATCCGGAGAGAAGGTGTGCGGCGAGAGTGGTGGGGGGTGCTGTGGCTTCCCTTCGATCTACATTGAATCGGGTTATTTTTAATTGGCACGATGAAAAGTCAATCTTCCCTGATTGCGTAATCAATCTCTCCTCTCTCTCTCTCTCTCTCTCTCTCTATTTACTTTCTCTCTCTTTCCTGCGAAGCCTTAAAACTCCTTATTTGCGCGTATCTTCACTGTTCCGATTGTCATTCGTATTTCCATTGTTAATCACCGGCTCGCCACTTCAATGGGATGACTTGGAAGAGAAGATTGCGACATTGAGTGACGACGAGCGGCCTTAATATCTCTTGTTCTTACGTGTATCGCGTTATTGTTCGTTCCTTCCCAGCTCACGCACAGCTTGTCCTAACAAAAGAAAACTCCTCTTCACGTCACTTGTTGCAAGCACTCTGATAGCTGCAGTAGCCCAATCACCGCACCGGTCGACTATTCGAAAACGCAAGAATTCACTGCCAAGAAATCTCGTCCAAATTGCCTTCTTCTCGTCCGGCCTGACAATGAGCAGCGGGATTCGTTCGTAACGTCTTTTCAACGACTTGGCTGCGTCTGGCGCGATTGAAAAAAAGCAACGAAGAAGCACTGTCAAATGTACAGGCACGCGTGTGCCAGTAGCCGCCGCGTGTGGCAGTATGTGGAAGCGCGTGGAAAATAACGATTCGTGCGTTTCGTGGACTCCGAGTAGTCGAAGTACCCAAAGTACTTGTGGCGCTCGAAGTACTCGAAGGAGATCCCGGCTTAGGCCTTCTACCGCTGCTCGCACAACGAGCACCAAGGAGCACCAACGAGCACCCAACCACCAGGAGGTTTCGGCACGCACTGAGCCAGCACTGCTCTCGATCGCCGTACACGGCCGAAACCACGTTTCTTGTCCTCACGGACGATACTCGAGCATGCGCGTGCCAGTCGGGCGCATGCGCATCTTGCGCCAGGATTCGCGCTCCACTTTCAACACAGACGATACGCTTCCTCCTTCTCTTGATCCTTTCTGGCTGCGTGCTTCTTTCGGTAGTTAACGCTTTTGGCTTTGCAAACTCGTCAACGGTCAACCTTTCCTTTGGCTATAAATAATTCGCGTTATATAATATTAGAATATTGCCTCAGTAAATTACTATACCGCGTTAACAGGAGCGATTCGCATTTGATTAACCACTGTTCCGTATGAACAGAAGGTGACTCGAGGGGCATCCCCCGTTTCCAAAAGAATAGACCGAGAAATATGCTTAGTCCGTGCTAACGTTACAGGATACTTGTTGGGCGAACTTCTTGAGCCAATGGCCGTCGTCACTGTCCCTTTGCGTTTCACGCGCGAGGCCAAAATAAAGTAGCAGCAGTCGGGCGACTGGGCTGTCGGAAATTGAGTGCGGCTCGTAAAGTCGCGACGAGAGCGACATTGCGGCTGCGACGGCAAATCCTTTCGTCGTGTTACAATGGCCACCTCCAGTGCGTAACTTACAGGGAGGTGTACTGGAAATCGAGGGTACTTGCTTATCAGCGGCATTTCTACCCCCTGACCCTGCATCCCTGGTCGTGCATCCCTGCGGATTTGCCCCCGGAACGAAGAAAGACCGAAGCCGAGGGCGTGGATGACAATCGGTCCACGAGTCCAGCCGCTCACCCTTAGAACTCCTCACGTCGTGCTCCTCTTCTTTTCCGGTCTTCTTCTTATCGAAAGCCGGCCGGCCGGGGGG